GTTGCTAGGCCTCCTCCCTCTAAACCCAAGCCCACCCCCAGCTAAGGTGGCCTCCTTTAAAAACACCATCCTGACATGTGGCTTCACCCCTCCCCCCCCGGGTCTGCAGCAGCTGGGTCCCCACCCCACCTCCTTGTCCAGGGAAGCCTCAAGGTGGAGGGACCGGTCAGACATGAGGAAGTGGCGTGTGGTTTCAGCCGAAGGCTGGGGGCCGGGTTTCTCTGGGGCAAACTGCACCTTTCGGATCACCAGACGCACGGAGTTCCTGGGGGCACAGATGAGGGGTGAGAGGGTCAGTCCTCAGATGCCCAGACACTGGCTCCCGCCTCCCACAGGGGCCTGGGGCTCCTGGGACCCAGAGGGAATGGTCAGACCTGAGGGGAGGTTGCTTCTCTCACCTTTTGTGGCTTTTCTCTTCTAGTGATTTGGCACAGAAGGCTCGAATCTCAAAGTCTACCCCACAGGCCTTGGGAGGGGGAGAAAAGGTCACATCTTACACAAGGCATCTGCCACTGCCGCCACTCCCTTCCTTCCCACTTCCCTGTCTTGGCCATGGACTCTTGCCCCATCATGGTCTGAGGAGCGTAGGGCCTGGGTCTTCCGCCTCTGCCTCCCCGAGGCCCGGCCCGGCAGAGGCTCGGTCCTCGCTGCACAAGGTGAGCCCCTCTACTCAGGGCCATGCAGGTCAAGGGCAGGAGGCGTCGCAACTGAACAGTGACCATTCCATACACCCACTGCCATCGGGGACATTTCCCTATCCTTAGTCCCACCCTGACGCCTCCTCCCACCCCCCCGGTGTGTCCCCTGGCTCTTGCTGGACCCTGTTCCTCCCGTACCTTCCCTGTGTCCTCTGGGCCTGGTTGCAGGGTGACGGAGCAGGGCAGGTTCTGGGGTATCTGTGGCAGAAGAAAAGAGTTCAGTTCTTCCAGAAAGCCCCAGAATCTTCCTCCCAATCTCAACTTAAGAGGTTGGAGGACTCCTGGAGAAGAGAAAGGAAAAAGGAAGGGGCCCCGGGGGGAGGCAAAGAGGCAAGGGCTTCCTGAGTGCAGGGTGACCCTGAAGCGGGGGTTCTAGGGTCCCTCCTCACTGTTTCTCCCAGACCTGCCCTTAACAGGTGCCTCCCCCCCCCCACCCCACCCCCAACACAGTCCCAGACGCCTTGCTCTGCAGAGGGTGGGGGTGTCCTCACTGTGAAAAAAAAGGGGTGGGCATGCTTGCCCAGCTTCCTCAGCAGCCGGTCCTGCAGGCGGGTGGGGGGCCGGGGCGGGTTGGGCGTTGGGGGGAAGGCCTGGTAGTTGGCGATGAACAGGTCCTTGCGGAAGGACAGGCCCAGCACATCCAGGTCTTCGCGGCCATAGCGGAAGGCACAGGTGAGGGTCACAAACACTGGCAAAGGTGGGCAAGGTAGGGTGGTCAGGAGCCCCCCTCCCACAGTCCCCTCACCTCCTGGCAGCAGCTGCCCCTTCCTCAGCAGCATAAAACCGGCCTGGATCCTACTCCTGGCTTCCGCCTCGGCCCTCCGTCTCCCCAGGGCCCCTCTCAATGCCAGCCCATTTCATTTCCCCACCTCCCTCTTTCCCTCCCTCCCCTGGGGCCCCTGGACTCAGGGCCAGTACCTTTGCGGTCCTTCAAGTAGTCAGGGTCCACTAGCACCACGCCATCTGGGAAGGGGACACATGAGCTCAGTTCCTGTCAGGGCCTCTCCTCCATTCCTGGGCCCAGGAACTGCCTCCCCTCTTGGGGCACATGATGCCACTTTCTGGGCACACTTACCTACAGGATCCACTTTGTCCAGGTGATCTACAAAGTCCCGCTTGCCCAGGTACACGGTGAGCTGAGGATGCAGAGGGGTCACAGGGAAGATTGGGTAGGCGGGTGGCAGGGCTTCAGAGACCTCAGAAGTGGCTGCCCTGACCCTGGTCTTCCCAGGCTGGGGTATCTGAAGGAGTTTCTCCTGGTTTCCTCCCAGTGGGGTTGGAAGAGGAGAGTGGTGGGCTTTGCCGGACTAGCCAATCTTGAGGCTTTTTAACTGCTCCCTAATATCTTTTCGCACTTCTGAACACCAGTCGGGTATATGTGTGTGCGTGGGTCCAGGAGGACCTGGCGATAGGCAGGCAGTTAGAGAGCCTCACTGCATGTCCTCAAGGACTTCTGGGATAAACAGGCCATAGCCTGGGGGGATGTTATCTGTTCCCAGCCCCAGGCACCCGTGGGTTGGCTCCTAAGAGGGCTCCAGGCGTGAGCTTCTGGCCCCTCCCCCTTGGTCTCACTTAGGGACCCAAACTGAACTGAGCCTGTCCCCACCCAGCCCTGTTGCTGGCTCAGGCCTTTGCGGCAAGGGGCTTCAGGAGGGAAGGAAGTTGGCTCTTAGCTGTCACAGGAAGTGGGGAGCTTGGGGTTGAGGACTGTCTAGGGGCAGGCTGGGCCTTGTGAGGGCCCAGGGAGGGTTGGGAGAAGCACTGTGGGAGACTCACCTTGCAGTTGGGACTCGACTTCTTGAAGACCCTAACAAAACAGAAAGGGAAACCTCACTGCCTCCCTCAGACTCAGCAGGGACCCCAGTGCCAGGACCTTGTGCTTCCCAGCCTGAGAAGCAGAGGTCACCCGAGATTCCTGCCTGGAGGCTTTGGGGCCTTACCTAGCCCTACCTGTTCCCACTTCTTCCCAGAAGGAAAGGTAACCAGAGGTCCTTAATACTCCCAGCATGGCAGCCCCTCAAAGCTGGTTGCCATGTCAACGCCCCCCCCACCCCCCGTAGTTCCCCTCCTCCCATGGCAGTGGCCACTGGTTGCCAGAGGAACCACTCAGGCTCTTCCCAGAGGACCTCCCCCAGGGGAACCTGAATGGACAGGTTGCAGTAGTGTCTGTGTAAGGCCTAACTCTCTTTCCATCTCTGGTCTCCACCTCCCACAAGAGCTGGAGTACTTGAAAGAGCAATGGCTCTAAAATGGTTTCTATTATGGGCAGTACCTAAGTGTGACCCTACTCTCCATTAACCTCCAACTGTCCCCATCTCTGATCTCAGCAGCTTAAAAGCTTATTTGTCTTTCAAGGCCCAGCTCAGATATCACCTCCTTTAGAAAGCAGATCCAGCCCAGACTCTGGTCACTCCCTTTTTTGGGATTCCTGTCAAACGTTGTTTATGCTTTACCTATGGTGTGATAGCGTGCAAGGGCAGTTAGCTGTGTATCATCTATCTCACCAGATAGACTGTGAACAGCAGAGGCCTTATTAATTTGGGTGTCCCCAGCACAGCACCAGCCATGAGACAAACATGATGATGCTGGCTAACATTTATTGGATGAATGGTCTATGCTCAGCACTGCTGCAAGTATTTCATGTGTGTTATCTCTTTTAACACTCTTAGCAACCCAATGATGGGAGATCCTAATGTTCCTATTTTACAGGTGAGGAGACTGAGGCACAGGAGAGGTCAAATATTTTACCTAAGGTCACAGAGAGTGAATGGTGGAATTTGGGTGCAAACAGGTATTCTGGCTCTTCATCACTAAACTATTGTACTATCCTGCCTCTGTTATTGGCATTAGGTTTGTTGGAGTGAAGGAGATTCACTTTCCAGTTGCTGAAACAATCTAAGCCTGGACTCCACCCATTGCTGGGAGGGTAGGGAGGTGTCTGGCGACCCCTGTGTCCTGGCCACTGTGGGCCTATTCTTTGCTGCACCGTCTTACTCCTCCCAATCCACTCTGCCTCTGTAGTTATATCTGTGAAGGGTCCCCAGGTAGCAGAAATTGAAATCCTGCCAAGTGGCCCATCCCTCCTCTAACTCCACCACCCCAGTTTTTGCTATAACAACTTCACATGCCCCTTCTTCCCAGAAGGCCAAGCTATCCAAAGACTATAAGGCATAGGGTATGGAGGCCCCCAGGTATCCCCATCTAATAAAGAAGAGCAAACATTGGTAAGGTGGCAGCTAGGATAAGCACCCTATCTCCTGTCCCCACTTGGGGGCTGACTGCTGTGGCATCCTCCAGCTCTCCCTCCCCTTTGCTTCTGGTTTTCCTCTTTGTCCTAGTGTTTCTTCCTATTAGGAGTACTGGCAGAGGGTTGGGACAGCCACAATCCGTTGGACAACTGGAGTGTGGCTCTGGGGTAATTGCCCTGAAGTAGCTGCAGGGCACCTGCCCTTTAGATTCTAACCCAGCCAGCCTCCTGCGGGCTAGGGAGGAGCAGTGTGTATACTGCGGTTGGCATGACCAGAGAGGTACCCAGTGAGGGGGCAGGGGGCAGCAGAAGCAGATGCCCCTTCACACTTCCTGCTATTCTCTCCATTTCCTGTGGCCCAGAATTTGATGGGGGTGGGAGGAATTGTGCCAAGTCAGCAGTCCCCCTTTGGTCCATCCGTCCCCCTCCCTGAACCACATAACGGAAATCTGGGGCCTCCCTCAAGTCAGCAACTTCCCCTTTCTCTGTGTTTAACCCCTAATCCAGGACACCAATCCTCGCTCCGATCATCTCTCCAATATCAGTTGACTTGGTGCTCACAAACCTACGCTTTCCTACTCTACGGGTGGGGGGTGGTAGGGCTGGTAAAATTTTTTTGCAGAACAAGTGACAAACCAGAACCAGGCCCCCATTCCTGATCCTCTCCGGAGAGAAGCAAATAGCCCCACTCTTTTTCCTCTTTTGCTCCTGCTCTCCAGGGATTCAGGCGTTCACCCACTGCCCCCTTGGGGGTGTTGGGTCACAACAGGAAGTGGATTTTGCTAGAGACCAAAAAAGAGAACTCGGGGTGTCAGTAGAAGGAAGGAGCCTCGATTGCACAGAAAACATCCGGGGAGTGGATGGCGTGCCCAGAGCAGATACAGCTTCCCCTCACGCCCGGCAAGAGGGGTAAGGCCCAGAATCGGGGAGGGTCGCCAAGCACTCTGCTCCACCAAGATGAAGCTGTTGCTCCTAGCAACCCGGGGGAAGGCAGAAGTTTGGAAGCGGAGCCACCCGGCCCTTGGGACAGGTTGGGGCAGCCCGACTGCCTGTGGGTTACTGGACAGGAGGCTTTCCAGTGGCTCGGAACGAGCCTGGGGGGGGATCCCCTCCTGGCATCCAGCCTGCCCATACCCGTCCCCTCGGGGCCGGCCACCTGCTCCGCCCTCCTCCGCCCCTGCATCGCAGCCTGTACTGGAGTCGTCCGGCCCCCACATGTCTGCGAGAACCCAGATGCAGGTTTCCTGATCCCCTTCAGCCCTCGCTTTCTGCATGGGCTGTGGCATGCGTTCCCCTCATCATCCCCGAGGACCTAGGCGTGCGGCCCCGGATGGCTGTCCCCTAGGGACCCAGGAGTCCGACCCCCGGATTCTCTCCCCCGGGTTCCTGTCTGGGGACCGTCCCGGCACCCGCCCCGAGCCGCCGCCCACGTCCCGCTGCGTGGCCCCACCTCTCTTACCTGGTCCCGGGTTTCTCCCCCATGGTGCGCGCGCCCGCCGCCCGCCCGGTTCGCGGCTAGCTCGCAGCCTCCTAGCCCGCTGCCAGGTCCCTGCTCCTCCCCGCGCCACTGCGCACGCGCGCCCCCGCTCTTTCTCCACTCCCCCCTCCCCTCCTTTCCCCCCCGCCTCGGATTCTGGGGAACTGGGGCCAGATGCGTCAGCCCGGATCGCGCGCGCCACGGCGCTGCCCGCCCTCTCTTCACAGACACGCGCGGTGATTGGCTCCACCCGCTCCCCTCAGCACTCCAGCCCCACCCTTCCCGAAGGATCCCTAGCTGGCGCGCGCTGTCCCTACACCCTGCTCTTCCCGCCCATCTCTCCGCCCCTCCACACCCGCTTAGGAACTGATTTGGCCTCCTCAAACGAAGGCGCCCGCCTTCCAAGAGATTAAAGCCCTCTGATTGGTTCCCTGCATCCAGGACCCTGCAGGGGTCCCCTCCCCTTTGTTTGCTTTCTCAGTGGCGGTGGAGGCGAAGGCGGTGGTGGGGGCGGTGCAGGAGCTCAAGCACAGTCTAGGAAGGAGGATGAGGGGAGGCACACGTGGGTGAACGGTTCCAGTTGCGTGATGCTCGCCCATTGCGCGCCTCTCACCAGCTCACCCCAGAGCTTGTAGCCGTCTTTGGCCCGCCCTCCCGCTTCTTTATTGTGGTGTGTCAGCTCCCCCTGGTGTCTGTCTTTGATCTTTGCAGGGTTACTTTTCCTAATTTCTCTTAACCACCCTTCTCCATCCGTTCATCAAAGCTAATATCCATTCATGCACGCCTGCATCTATCCATGCCTATTTTGTGCTAATCACTATGCTAGGAGATGGGGACCCAGACATGAATTTACATGGCCCCTGCCTTCCTGGTATGGTTGAGGAGACATATAAAGAGGTATTATGATCCTAGGAACGCTATAATAGACGTATGACTCAGAAGACAAAGTGACTCCCAGCGCTTGACTGGGGGAGGGATGGAGGCAGTGCAGGCTGTCCAGAGGAGGGGACATTTGAAGACAATCTTTCTGAAGGGTGGGCAGAAGTTGAGAAAGGGTTTTCCAAAGAGAGAGAAAGGCAAGGGGCACATCCTGTTCTGAGGTGTCTGTGGGGTTAGAGGGCAGGAGAGATAAGGCTGAGGAGGATGGCTGGAACAGGAGTGTGAAGGATATTGTATAGCAGGTAAAGGAGTGAGACAGGGGCCTCTCGTGGAGGAGGACACATGGATCCAGTAGTGGTTTTTTTAAGCCAAGGGGTGGCTTAAAATCTTCCTAAAGGATGAGATTTCTCCTTTAGGAAGATAATTCTGGGCAGTGTGGAGGATGGAGGGAGTGGGGCACGGCTGTTGTAGATGAAAACTAGTCAAGGAGAGATGACGAACAATAGAGTGGAAGGGAGAAAGGGGGCCAGGCTGAAGAGTCATTTTTAGGGCAAAATTGAGCGGACTGGGGGAGGATGATGGATGATGGACATTCCTAGACTTAAGGAGCTAACGTATCCTCTTTCTTCCATCTCTTTCCCCATACTCCCCTGTCTCCCCCAAATGAACTAACTTCACCCTTCTCCCTCCACTTTTCTGTGCAACAAAAAGTAATGTGCACAACAAGTTTCTGAAATCATCTTTAAGGTTCAAATACAGGCTTACTAACCAGCTGCTACTTCCCCACCCCCAGTTCTCCCACCACCTTCTAAGCTCACTCTTCACACCTTTCGAGCTTTAGCTCATGCATTTCTTTTAAACTCATGAATCACTTTTGTCAAAAGGTCATGACCAGTAGGTAATGAGATCTATATTGCTACATATCTAAAGTGATTTTGGAGCTGAAAGGTAGTGGTCTGCATGGCATTAAAGCTACTGTATTTAAAAAAATACTAATATAAAGATAACTTTAGAATATTAAAGAAGGCTGGAAAGAATGAAAGAGATACACCATATAATCATAGTGGGAAAAACCATCATTATAAAGACATCATTTCTCATATTGCCTATACATTTAATGCTGTATCAAAATAATAATGAGACTTTATTGGGGGGGGAACCGGATTCTAAACATTATCAAAAGAATCAACTTTCACATATAGTCAGGAAAA